TATATATATAATCAGTTTAGTCATTAAAATGTTTCCATAATGTGACCGTTTTGTCCCAACATGTTGTATTGCAACTGTTCAGATTAGTGTGCAAAACATACAGTGGACAGGCAGAACACAAGGGATGAAAGATGTTTAATCAGTTCTAAAATTATTATTTTTCTTTAGCTAGGCATCACTTGGTGAGTAAGAGATGAGTTAGGAAAATAGGAAGGTATAGGACCAGGAGATTTGATACAAAGATTGGGAGCAGGTTCATTTCAATCAGTACAAGTAGAGAAAATGTAACAAAAAAGGGAAACTAAATAAGTACATCTTTCACAAACTTGAAATAATGAACAACTAAAAGTAAAATAAAAAGAAATATTTCTGTTTGAACAACTACTTCCTGTATGGTTTCTACTGTTTAAAAGGAGAACAGCAGTTTGAGTGAAGCAAAACTCCTTTATGGTGACGTCACAACTTGCTCATGTCATGACTAATGCTGGAGGATAATGTAGGTTTAGAGCGTCAGATTTTTATTTCTGGTGTCCTGATTCTGGTTCTGGTTGTCCACAATTAATAAAAGTCAGTGCAATGTCCTAATTAGGACAGCTGTGCAGGTTTGTGTGTGTGTTTCTGAGCATCTACCTCGGACAGAGCTGAGGAGAAGTGGTTGCAGTTCTTGTGCATGAGGTGGTAGGCGTTGCCCTTGTACTCCTTCCCCATCTCCTCCACAATCCGCTCCACATCCTCTTCTGTGAAGTCGGTGCTGCCCAGGACTATGGCTTCTCTGCACAAATAAGAAAAGACTGTGTAGGCCGTGACTCATCGAGGACACACCGAGAACAACTACAGGCGCAATCAGTAGATTTCCTGCTCGAATGCAAGCAGCCTTTACCAGCTTTCTGCTATCCTGTGCCAGCTTAATCTGGATTTATGTCACAATAATTGTGCTAAAATATACATCTTTTTGACTAAATCAGTATTTATTCATATTTGGATTAATGAAACTTTTTTTTACACATTTAATCACATGAAGTCAACACAAATGTTTCTGGTGCAGTAACCAAAAACACATGAAATAGACAAAATTTCCAAAACGGAACAGTGAAACGAGTCAAGGATTAATGATTTGATTATTCTCCGTATCCGTTTCTAGTTTTACATGATATCAGAGGAAAAAATAAATAAAATAAAATGAGCTGATGGCAGTCTGAAAACGTGTTGATTTATTTGGCTCGTCTCAGTCAATAATATTCACAGAACTGTCCCAGATGCAGCCGGCTGGCCTCCGCGGGGACAACTAGTGTGTGTTTGTCTGACAGGCAGAGTGTCTCTAAAGCTGCAGGGCAGATCAACTAGAGCAGAAGTAATGCACAGCAGCACGGTGGCTCTGGGTAGACTGGGGAACTGCAAACACATCAAACTGACTTAATGCTCGACTGTTTCTCTCACTCCCATTGCAACTTTGGTTAAAAAAATATAATAATAATTCAGAATAGCTCTATGCTGTACTGGAGTGGAAAAAAGTAACATACCACAATGTATTTATATTTTAAGTCTGCACAAAACTGGTGCAAAGACCTGCTATTTGTACAGAAGGCATCTTTACAACGAGAGAAAAACGTTTTGCTGTTGCTTCACTAATTCAACTTTAGAAATGCATTTCCCCCATCTTGAGTGGACTGAATGACTAACTGCCTGGATGCAGTTCACTGACCAGTTATTAAGCCAATGGACTGACGCTCTGGAGTCGTGCCCTGTGTGAAAGACTGACTGATGGACTGACTCGTTAGCCAGCTTCCTGGTCACATAATGACATTTGGCTTTCAACAGACACACCACCTTGTTCTAAGCTGTCTGAAGTGGGGCAGAAAATCCCACGAGCCTTTTGGAAATGTGCTTGTACTTAAACAGAAAATGCCCGTTACTTACTTAAACTTAAAAGTGTCGCCGAGTTCGGTTGCATCGCCCGGTGAAATCTCAAAGATCCCTGAGAATGGATACGGGTGTCCACCGTAGGCAAACTCTGAACACAAACATACAAGTAAATATTCAGCTTAGGACAAAAAACAACTCATTGATCGGTACACTTATAGACAGACGTGTAGAATGAACCACAGAGGCACAATTTGTTTTATGTTTTCTAAGCTATAAAAGGGATCCACTCCGAAACCCAATCCTCAGGGAGACAGCATGATGTGGGTAGTGTCATATTTCTGAGCAACCTTACCTCTTCCATAGACCTCAATCCCTGAGTGAAAGACTCCGATGCCCAGAGAGCTGGTGAACTCATTGATCCAGTACTGAGAGGAGAAGAAAAAAACGAGTCTCGCATTTTGTTTAACTGTAGCTGCGTATATATAATGTGTCATATATATATATATTACATTTAAAATCACAATAAATTGGTCTATAAATACATTTTCCAACTAGCAAAAAACCCAGTGTAAAATTTAAACAAATACCAGAGAAGACGATTAACAAATGGGTACACTTTGCTAGTTTTAAAGACTAAATTTATAAGATTTGTTCTAAAAACCACACAAGTAAACATCCACACACATAAAATTTCAATTCCCATCACCAAATGATGCAACTGTGATTACATATTGGCAGATGGCAGCTAAAGAAATAATAAACTCATGTTTAATACCATGTTGCAGTGCAAACCCTCATATTGGACGAGGAACTAGTTTATTGTGCTTTTTAAATATAACTTATTAGACCGCAAGAACTGAAAATAATTATTGAATTTATAGTTGGTGTCTGCTACACGTAAAAAAATACATTTATAGACCACAGATGTTTATACAAGATACCTGAGATAAATAAGTACAAGCTATTACACTTTGACCTCTCAAACTGCCACCCACTTTTTCTTTTTAGACGTGTGTCAAACATCTTTAGGTGAAAAGTGATTGGTCAGCCTGAGAAAAAAGTTTTAATGACACCAGATGAAACAGGAAGATGCAGTAAAAATAATTACTTTTTTTAAACATTTATCTCTCACCGTGAAATTTGCTTTGTTTGTGTCTGTTAGGAAAATATCTCATGAACTGCTAGGAAAAACTTAGTGAAATAATAACTAAATATTGTCTTTGTGGCGATGTGAAAAAAATAAAACTATGCAAGAGTCACATAAAAGTTTTTTTTAAATAATGAAATGTTTTCAATTCACTTAAAAACTAAAGTTTTTCAAACTACCAGCTGTGTTCACACAGAGTCTGAATGGAAATGTGGGATGAAAATAAAAGATTTATGTCTCTGTCGTTTCTAGTCGTGCCACTGGCAATGCTTTGCCACCACATTTGTTTCATAGCAGCTGACTTTGTTTAAATAACTACGACAGGTTTTTACATCTGCTGTGCTGTTGTTTCTCTGGGCCAAAGAATAATGATCTTTGTTCACAGCAGCTGGTTTTCACACACTAAAAATCACAGAACTGGCTCCAAACTGTCTTCAGTGTGTAAAAAAACTATATCAGATCAGAAAGTTTACAACCCAGATTTCATAAAAAAAAGAAAGCAATAATTTGCAACGTTAAACCCTAATGCTCAAACTGATTAATAAATCAGCTGAGTCTGTGTGTAAAGTAGAGTTGAGCTAAATCGAATCGTGTACAACAGTGCTGGCTCTAGCTATTTTGGTGCCTTAGGCGAGTTGAAGCG